AAACTCAAAAAAGCCTATGAAAAAAGGTACCAGGGGCATCTCATGGGGCCCCCTACTGACCCCGGACCCTCAGGCAGTGCCCGAGTTTCCAAATGGTCAGTCTGCCCCTGGTAAAGATGTAGCATGCATCATCATTTTTCCATAGTCCTCTGTGTGTAGCCAGAAAATGGTGCAGTCTGACTAGGCTTTCACTTCTTTCCCATCTTTTCATCCAAGTTTTGTTTTCTTCTAAAATAGATCTGTATTAAAATGTTGACTTAAAACCTGTTAACAATCCTGCTGGAACGGATAGATAAATAGCTATCTTATTGGGGAAAATGCTGCTTCAGGCTTTCTTCAGGGCTGTTCATATGCATGAAATCCCAGCTAGTTAGTCATGTGATCTCTTCAAATGTGTGGATTCAGCCAATCTGAATTTTGATGTTCCTTTTTAGCAAAGATCACTTGACCAATCACTTGCGTGCCAAAACCTTCAGCACTGAAGTGAGCCTGCATTAGCATGTTCATAGGAATGGTGTGTATTGGCTTTGCTAATATTCTTCATTCTTATATCACAGCTGAGCTGTTACCATAGCTACATGTTAACATTTGTGTATATATATATCAGCTTTAAGTGCGGTCACTTGCTTGAAGTTTAATAACAATTCTAAGGAGTCCTTCTTATGTTGTGAATTCACCTAGCTGATATGGTTTACAATGCTTTTAGTTTTGGAGTGATTAGGGAAACATGCAGGAAATGTTTTGCTTCCTGTAGTTCTCAAGCCTGTGGTTAGCTTGGGGTCATACACTCTGTAATCACTTCTGGAGTTTGGCCCAAGCAAAGCTGCACTATTTAAAAAGGAATCACTTGGGATTTTCTGACAGAGGTCAGGAATACCCATTGTTATTAAACATTAGAATGTGTTTAGTTTTTTTGTTTTGTTTTTTAACAACTTTCTATTTCCGCAGACTGCTTGGCGCAGAGAAGGTTTTCTCCTATGCTCTCAATGAGTGGCTGACTGATATCCGAAAGAACCAGTTACCAGGAATTCTGGGAGGAGTAGGACCTATGCATTCAGTCGTACAGCTATGTAAGTAACATGTGCAGCGGTAAATGCTGGTTCTGCTATGTGATATGTGAGAAGCAAGCAATGGCCTGTATTGTGTCAGTCTTTATATTTGAAGCGAATCTAAAGTCCCGCTGTAAAAACTGCAAGTAGGCAAGCTTTTATTACAGAAGAGACATGCACTGTCTCTTCGAAAATAAAATGCACCTCCCTGTATGCTTGTCATCGCACCTCCAGCACTGTAAATTGAGTGGTCAGCTTACAGTGCCAGGCCACTGTCTGAGCATGCACAGGAGTGACATCATTCCCTGCTGGCCAAAGAAGAGACTGGCACCTTTGGACAGGCAAGTATGGAGACTTTGGTTCTGCTTTAAAGTGGTAGTAAAGTGAAAATCCCCAAAATCTCTGACAGGCAGGGTTTTTGTGACAGAAGAGACCATAGTGGTCATAAATGTCTCCCCTGCCTGTGAGCAGGCAATGTGATCTGAGCCAGCACAGACCACATTTACGGCCCCGTCTGCATGCCGCGGAAATGTGACTCCCGTGCGCAAATGTGTGGGAATGACATCACCTCAGCCTGGCCAATCAAGTGGCCAGGTATACAGAATTCAGAAGGAAGACCGGGTGAAGATGGAAGCTGTCGGGGACCAGAGAGAGCTGTGTCAGCGCAGTGCTGGAGGGCTGTGTTTGTAGGCAAGTCTTTCATAATGTACGTGTGTGCACTGCATACTAGTACATTATGACTTAAACCTGCTGTGGGACATTTTTTTCCTTTTATTAAATAGACTTTACTACCACTTTAAGCTAAATTTTGCAACTTGCATTTTTGCTTTACATTCACAGTTAGCACCTATCATTTGCATTAATATTTTAAGCTGGCTACAGTGTACATGAGGACTTGAGAAAAAGTACTAAAAGATTTTCACATGCAGAAAAAATAACAAATGGAAACCTTTTTAATGGGAACGTCCAGCACTAAATACTCTGGATTTGGAACACCGCCAATTAACATTTTGGAATCTGACTCGGCAGCTCCCAAGTTCTCAAGACCAGCTGGTTGTCTTTGCTGAGAAGTAAACAGAGTAACACCAGGTGCCTTGGAGCTGAGAGTAAATTCCAATCCTATGATAGTGACTGGGGGCAGATCTACCTTATGTTCCCACTGAAAAGCCCTTCTGCTGTCTTTACTGAAAGTGAAATACCTCTTTAATGGTAATGACTTAAAGTGATTCTAAAGGCTCAAGATTTTTTACCTTCATGAAATTAAAAAACATTCTGTGTGCAACATCAGTTTCCTCCCTAATACTCACCTAAGCCCCCTCTCAATCCAGCGATGTGCACTGGAGTGTTGGCTATCCCGGGACTCCCTCTTCTCATTGGCTGAGACAGAAGCAAGAGCCATTGGCTCCCACTGCTGTCAGTCATAGCCAGTGAGCCAATGAGAAGAGAGGGGTGGGGCCAAGCAGTGGCTCCATGTCTGAATGGACACACGGTGCAGCCAGTGCCCCCATAGCAAGCTGCTTGCTGTAGGGGCACCTCACAGGAGGAAGGAACCAGAAGAACCTGCGGGGGACCCGAGAAGAGAAGGATCCTGACTGCTCTATACTTACCTGTTGTGTGCAGTGGTTTTGCACAGACATGTTTGTTATTTTTCCTTAAAAATAAGTAGGCCTTTAGAATCACTTTAACATCCAATAATAGGTTGATTTTTGTTGTCAAGAGTTTCAGTAAGTGAATTAGTTTGCATAGATTTTATTTTACATTACTGATAGAATAGTTCCACAGTGTGTATTACTTGTCAGATATACAAGCATAACAGTGATTGTTCATGCTGGTAATAATTTTTCCATGTACAATGTGTCATATGCTGACAGTAAAGTGGGTGTCATATTATGACATGTAAACACAGCAGATCTGGCATTGCTTGCTCTTTTTCAGTCCATGGGGTACGTGATCTTTTCTGGCTACCTATTGAACAATACAGGAAGGATGGACGCATTATCCGTGGTTTACAGAGGGGGGCAGCATCTTTTGGTACCTCTACTGCTTCGGCAGCCCTGGAACTCAGCAACCGACTAGTGCAAGCTATTCAGGTAGTGTGAAAATATCTAAGCAATAAATCCCTATTTTATTAGTATGTGTTGGAGTTTCACTGGATGTATATACTGTCTGTATTTTCAGGCTACGGCAGAGACTGTTTATGATATTTTATCTCCAACACCCCCCGTGTCACGCTGCTACCTTGATTCCAGACAGTCTCGGAGACTAAGAAGAGGGCAGCAGCCGGCAGATCTCAGGGAAGGTGTAGCAAAGGCCTATGATACTGTACGGGAGGTGAGTGCAAAACACAAAGGGCATGCAGGTGTTTAGAAAACTTATGGGGCAGTGATCATATGTGTTCTTTCTCTTTCATCTTAGGGTGTCATTGACACAGCACACACTATACGTGAGGTAGCATCTCGTGGGCATGAACAAAAGGGCCTGACTGGAGCTGTAGGCGGTGTTCTTCGACAGATCCCACCTACTGTGGTGAAGCCATTTATAGTGGCCACTGAAGCTACATCAAATCTTCTAGGGGGCATGCGAAATCAGATTCGGCCTGATGCTCACAAAGAGGATTCTCTAAAGTGGAGAGCAGATGAAGGGCAGGATTGAAGACTGAAAAATCTTGCCTCGCCACGCCTTCTGCTCTTTACCCTATGAAGTGCCAAAGGAAAGCTGCAATATGTGACATTGCCTGGAATTTGCTGGGTCTGTGAATCAAACTGTATGCCACTGCATGAACATACGTTATTAACAACTTGGACATTTAAAGTCCCTACCCAAATACTTGATTCTTAACCATATGCCTTTTTGTGTTCATTTTTTTGTTCTTTTTTCTTTAAACTTGTTCACCCGTTGTAATCTTCCTAACAATTTAAGATAAGCTCAGCTTTTCTGTTGATCATCTAATCATGCAGTGACTTCAGTAGATAGTAAGCACTTTCCGTTCGCAGTTGTGGCCTTGATGTGCTGACCCCTGTTTTCTGGACTAAGCCGTAACCTATCTTACAAGAGAATCCAATTTTATCCTGTTTAATATTGAAGAAACAGCACAACCTGGGACTGTTTGCCCCAAGGAAGGACTCTGAGCACACGTCTTATAGGCCTTGATCCATCACAGAATGTGGCTTTTATAATCCTATCTCTTCCCTTAATGCTTTCTTCTGATTGAGGCCATATAAGTATAAATAATATATATATGTATAAATAAACAATGTAAAGTATTCCCAGTGACATGCAAACAAGGCTGCTGAAACCTCTGCCCAGGTGTGTATTTGTATGACGATGATGGGTCATTGGTTACTTTTTCATTTTACAGGGAGTGAAATGTTCAAACTGTGTGAAAGAAAAGCTGTTTTTCTCACATTGTGTTCATGATGCATCATTGTTCATATATACAACATATATAACAGTCCTTTCATGTGCACAGTGATATTTAAAATCTTTACAAATTTTCGTAGGGTTGCATAAGAGTGTTGTCTTAATTTATGATGGGATGAAAGTGAATGCTATAGTAGTCTGTCTGCCCCTCACACTGCTTGATATGGGTTTCTATGTCAGCATAATGCAACTGTCATCAGAGGAGATCCAGGCTGTCATCCCACTACAACAGAAGGCTGGAGACCCTGGCAGTCCTTTCCTGTTGTGAAATAATATGAAGAGCAGCAACAGGTCGGTGATTGTTGTGCTTTGTTTTCCAGTAGTTATTCATAGAAGATCAACTCCTTTTTCCTGTTATCACTGTGAGTTGTTCACCTGCTCATGTTTTGCCACCAGTAAGAATGTAGCATTTAGAGAGAGATGTGTCCTACACATTAAAACCAAGTCCTTTCATTGGGGAGCAGTGTTGGAGCCCCCCATATCTGTTATTTAGTATTATGGAACGTGCATAGATCTTTGTCCTCTGATGAATCATAGGGTTCTGTTTCCAGGCTGTATGGGGGCCATGAGTGCGTTATTTTCCCCATTTGTAGTTTTCACCTCGGCCTCTTCTCTCAGCAGCATCTTTTCATTGTCACCTATGTTTTGCTCTCCCATATGTTCTGAGCTATCTACAGCCTCTTCCCTGCTCTCTTCAACGATTTGTATGGTCTTCTGAAGAGTGTCAATGAGGTTTTGCAGCCCCAGTAGATAGCCATCTTCATGAGTGCCAGGCTCCCATGCCACATCATGGCGCAAACTAATGTGTGCTGGAACAGGAGTTGTTTTGCCAAAATCAATCATCCAAACGTTGGTGTTGCCACGACGGTCATGAACAAAGAGGAGGGAGCTGCCAATCACCTGAGACAATAAAGGGAAGTCATACAAGTGAAAACCACGGATTTGAATCTGAAATTTCACAGCACTATAACATTGTTACCATACCTGAAAAGGTCTGCTTAGGTGTGAGTCCAAAGTGAAGTGGAAAATGTCATAAACATAGGAAACTAATAACATGGCAAGCAATTACTGGCATGTATGGCAAGTGTATATGATAGCAAGATACACATGTAAACAAGTAACAGCTAAGAGCTCAAATGTCCCATGCTATAATCCTCTGGTTAGAGGGCACAATTGATAGGACTTGGTGAGCCTTCTTTAGGGCACCCCTAAGTGGTTGGGGAGCTCATCTACATTCATGTAGCATATAATTGCAGATACTGTTTACATCTGTTATTCACCTGGTAAACCTACTTTGCTCCTCCAGGATCTCTGAATTTCATTTCAATTATGTTTATTTGTTTTATAAAAGAAGGAGTTACAAGCCAATCTAGAAAGTTATACATCCATTTTCTAAAAACTGCCAACTGTCTGGGCTGATACAAGCAATGCACAAAATACAACTTTCCAGGACAATTGTCAGTCAATGATAGCCAAAAGGGTCCCATTGGGACTTATAGTGTAAGGCCCATAACAATAAGGTAAAGGAGAAAACAAAAACTAAAGTGAAACTTTTTGTCAGGCCTGGCATCAGAGACCACCATAACCTGTATGGAGAATTGTTCAACCTCCAATAATCAACAGGTCATAAGGGGAGACACCACTCATGGCCTTTATATAACTATATCCAATACCAGGGAAAGAAACATAAAGGGAAAGAGATGAAGGGAAAAGAGAAATAGAAAATTAATAGAGAAGGAGAAAGGACACATGGAGGAGGAGGAACTGGTAGGCTACCAAGCGCAGGGTATGAGACGTGCACTGTTTATAGATTCCACATATTATCCACCATCCAACCTAGGATGGTGCTGAAAGATATTTCATCCAAGGTTTTTTCAAAATGGGCCACCCTATCATGAAGAATAGCGGTCAAACGTTCATTGACCATAATCCAGGTCAGCTTGGCCTTCAGGCGGTCAAGGGGGACCACCAGGAGTGTGCAATGGATATTCTGGCTGCAGTAAATATAAATGCAATCAAGCGTCTCACATATATCCAGGTATGCCTTCTGCCGGCTTCCCCAGGAGGGCCTGAAGTAGAGATTTGATAAGATTAACCTGTGTAAGTGAATATATAAAATTATATGTGCAAATTCAGAATTGCTTTACTTTGCTACAGGTTCACCACGTATGGAGAACCGTTCGCTCCTGTCCACGGCCACGGAAACAGCTGGAGGAGGCCCCCTGAACAAAAGACACCAAGCGGGAGGGTACCAAATACCACCGCAAGAAAACCTTATAATTAGCTTCAATCAACGAAGTATTAATATAATTTTTGGAGTTTAGCTGCGCCAGTTTAAAACTTCCCCCAAGTCTTGTTCCCAACGTTCTATATAGGGTAACTTGGAGAAAATCCATTTTTAAGACCGCATATATCATGGATATATGACCACTGTGTTTATCTAGAGTTCTACACAGATGTTTCATTGGAGTCAATGAGGACAAGTAACTGGTGCATCTAAGGGTATGAAGAAAGTGGGTTCTTTGTGAGAAGCGATAGAGTTCCTTAGTGGGGAGGTGATGTTGTTCCTGAAATACTATCCTAGGTATGGGGCCTCTATGGTCACAAAAATTTGCCAACCGAAGAAAACCTTCACTTGTCCACCATTCAAAAACAGAGGGGCTGAGTCCCAGGGGAAATGCTGGACTGCTCAATTAAGGAGCTTGGGGAGTATGGGGGGGGACTTAAAGCCATGCTTATTTGCCAAGCTATCCCATAAGGTAAGGGAAAACAATAACATGGGGCACAAAATTGCAGGTGTATCATGGCTTTCAGCCACATCATATGGCTGATCGGGATGTTGGGAATATGGGACAATTCCAAATGTATCCACAGGGGGCGGACCTGTTGACCTGTTGAGAAGGATCTCTGATTTTAAAGCAAACCAATCACCAGCTTGTACAGTTCAATCTGAACATATGATAAAAATGCACAAGTAGATACAGTTGTGTTCAAAATAATAGCAGTCAGACATCACTAACCTGATCAATCACTGTTTTTGGTAGAAATGATATTTCTACATGGCAAATAATTTACTAGCAGGTGTAGTAGAGTAATAGAAATCCAACAGACCCAATAGTCATGACATGCATGCTGCTGATTCTGTGTAATTAAATCACTAATTGAAAGGGGCATGTTCAAAATAATAGCAGTGTGGAGTTATATTAGTGAGGTCATTCATTCTTTGAAAAACAGGTGGCAATTATTGCCCTTATTTAAGGAAGGAAGGCAGCAAATGTTGTGCATGTTGGTTACTGTGCATTTCTCTCTGAAATTCTGAGGAAAATGGGTCGTTCCAGACATTGTTCAGAAGAACAGCGTACCTTGATTAAAAAGTTGATTGGAGAGGAGAAAACATTTAAAGAAGTGCAGAAAATGATAGTCTGCTCAGCTAAAATGATTGCAAATGCTTTAAAATGGCAACCAAAACCTGAAAGACATAGAAGAAAGCGAAAACCTACCATTCGAATGGATAGAAGAAAAGCCAAACTGGCAAGGACTCAGCCAATAATCAGCTCCAGGAAGATCAAAGAAGGTCTAAAGTTACCTGTGAGTACTGTTACAATTAGAAGACACCTATGTGAAGCCAAGCTATCTGCAAGAAGCCCCCGCAAAGTCCCACTGTTGAAAAAAAAGACATGCTGAAAAGGTTACAATTTGCCAAAGAGCACATTGACTGGCCTAAAGAGAAATTGCGCAACATTTTGTGGACTGATGAAAGTAAGATTGTTCTTTTTGGGTCTAGTGGCCAGAGACAGTTTGTCAGACGACCCCCAAACACTGAATTCAAGCCACAGTACACTGTGAAGACAGTGAAGCATGGTTGCGCAAGCATCATGATATGGGGATGTTTGTCATACTACGGTGTTGGGCCTATTTATCGCATACCAGGGATCATGGATCAGTTTTGAATACATCAGAATACTTGAAGAGGTCATGCTGCCTTATGCTGAAGTGGAAATGCCCTTGAAATGGGTGTTCCAACAAGACAACAACCCCAAACACACCAGTAAACGTGCAACATCTTGGTTCCAGACCAACAAGATTGACGTTATGGAGTGGCCAGCCCAATCCCCGGATCTTAATCCAATAGAAAACTTGTGGGGTGACATCAAAAATGCAGTTTCTGAGGCAAAACCAAGAAATAGAGAAGAACTGTGGAATGTAGTCCAATCATACTGGGCTGCAATACCTGTTCACAGGTGCCAGAAGTTGGTTGACTCCATGCAACACAGATGTACAGCAGTTCTCAGAAACAGTGCTTATACAACGAAATATTAAGTGATTCAAAGGAAAGCAAAAACTTTACCAGCAACGGTACAAAAAATCGGCCGATTTTCATCCCGTCTACAGCCGGCAAAAAGTGTCCCTGCAGAGAGCTCCGCTATTTCTTTGACAGTTCCTTGACATTTATAGCGGTTGCAACAATGTATCTATTTGTATCCATTTAGGATACAGATGTTTTTATTCGGAAACAAATAGATACATTGTTGCAACCGCTATAAATGTCAAGGAACTGTCAAAGAAATAGCGGAGCTCTCTGCAGGGACATTTTTTGCCGGACTGGAATTCCTCTTCTTCTTCTTCATCCTCTTCATCTTTTTCTTCATCCTCCTCTTCATCCTCTTCCTCCTCTTCCTCTTCTTCCTCTTCATCTTCCTCCTCCTCTTCTTCATCTTCTTCTTCATCATCCTCTTCTTCATCATCTTCTTCCTCTTCTTCTTCATCCTCTTCCTCTTCTTCCTCTTCTTCCTCTTCTGCCTCTTCCTCTTCTTCCTCTTCTTCCTCTTCCTCCTCTTCCTCTTCCTCCTCTTCCTCCTCCTCTTCGCCTTCTTCCTCTTCTTCCTCTTCCTCCTCTTCCGCCTCTTCCTCCTTCCTCCTCTCTTCCTCCTCTTCCTCCTCTTCCTCCTCTGCCTCTTCTTCCTCTTCTTCTTCATCATCCTCTTCATCATCCTCTTCTTCTTCTTCATCCTCTTCTTCTTCATCATCCTCTTCTTCTTCATCATCCTCTTCTTCTTCATCATCCTCTTCTTCATCCTCTTCTTCATCCTCTTCTTCTTCTTCATCCTCTTCTTCTTCTTCATCCTCTTCTTCATCCTCTTCTTCTTCTTCATCCTCTTCTTCTTCTTCATCCTCTTCTTCTTCTTCATCCTCTTCTTCTTCTTCATCCTCTTCTTCTTTTTGTCTTCCTCTTGCAGGTCACTGCTCATGTGCAGATTTTTTTATCGGTAAAAAGATCGGCCGATTTGCCCATCATTGCCGCGAAAATCGGCCGATCGGCAAAATCGGCCGATTTTTTCCAACTTTACCGATAAAAAAAATCTGCCAAAATACGAAAAAACGGCCGAACAATTAGCCCACAAACGATCCGAAAATCGGCCGATTTTATTTTCGGCCGAAATATCTGCCGATTTTCAACCCATCTATGGCCTGCATTCGTTTATTGGGATGGGCTGTCTCAATGACCAGCAGAGAGACATTGTCGGCAGGGAGCTGGGCCTAGCTTAACCTATATCAGAAAAGTTGAGGTCTGCATACAACTTCAGCTACCAATCGCTCTGGATATAAGCAATCTCTGCATATGCATTGCTTTTTGATACAACTCCAATTGAAAAACAGTTGGGATGCTGTGCAAAATCTACATAAACACAGAATGCAATGATTTGCAAATCTCATAAACCCATATTTTATTCACAACAGAAAATAGAATATACACCCTGTTCCAAATTATTATGCAAATTCTATTTAAGTGTCACAAAGATTAAATATTTTGTTTTTCAGTGTAACTCATGGATGGCATTGTGTGTCAGGGCTCTTTAGATCACTGAAAACAATCTCGGACACCTGTGATAATTAGATTGGCCGGTGAGCCCAATTTAAGGAAAAACTACTAAAGGAGGGTGTTCCACATTATTAAGCAGAGCACCATTTTC